ATACTTTTGCCGTTCAATTCAAAGGATATGGGAACATCGAGGAAGTGTTGAAGCAGGACTGCTTTGCACCCAATAACTCTCGAAGCCCGAACAGCAATTATCCAAACAGTTTTGCAGGTAAGAGGTGTAAAATGGAAGTAAGTGGATGGTATAGGCAAGGTTGGTTGCAGGTAGCTCCATGGAATTTCGAAGCAGACGAGGCCCGCCTAGGAACTAGCGTTTAAGCAAAAAATAACTTTTTATAAGTCATAGCATTATTTATTTAAATCATCCACTTTTTCTTTATAAAGTAATAAAAAAATACATCTTACTAACATCAGCTGGTCCTTCAATTTAGAATAACTCTTAAAATTAATTTAAAGAATGAAAAAATTATTACATTCCACCCTCACTGTAGACACATTCTCCATCTATCCAAGTGGAGGATATGTCGTAGTCATCCGTTAGCATTATAAAATCCGCATCTGCTCCGTAACTGAGCGACCCTTTATTTTTTTCAATACCCAAAGCTAGCGCAGGGTGAAAACTTGCTGCTTCAAAAGCATACTCGGGCGAGCAACCTAAAAATTGATTCATTCGCATTTTCATGGAACTCGGGTGAAATAATCACCCCAGTTCGAAGCAAGCGTCCAGTTCACCTGTAGATTTGATAAAATTCCGAACACATTGAATCATTGAAGCTACGCTTCCACAAAGAGTAGAAGTGCCCGCAATAAAAGCCTTGTTATCTTTCACCTCAATGTCCAGTTGGCCAATTTTGTGCTGACCAGCCTGTAAGCCCAGCGCTGATATTGCATCAGTCACTAATATCAAACCTAAATGGGCCGCAAAGCCGCGAAATGAGGACCGGTAGGGTAATTTATCCTTTGAACATACCGTCAGGATGGACCCGGTAAGCAATTCTTAGAGCAGCAGGATGAGTGTGAATACCATCAGCTATTATGCCAAAAAATACGGGATTCTTCTCAGGAATTTTTTTWGACGCTAATAACCCAACTAAACCCGGGTCTCTGTGATGAAACTAAAAGAGATTAGAGCGGGGTTTGATRACTGAGCAGGTTTGGAATTAGAYGATTCTTTACTTACAGGCAACATGGCATTAAMTAGATGAGTTATTAGATTGGCACCATTCAAAACCGCTTCYTCACTTTGGACCAAATCGGCCATTGTATGCCCTAATTAAATGATTTGCATAGTAAATTCGGAGTTTCTTTGCTCATATTTTTATTATAACGTTAATATTRGCAGATCTTCTCAATTTAACGCGGTTTGAATGTGGGGTAAAACTCTTGTTATCTATTTAGTTTTCAATTTTGAACATTGCGATACGCAGATCGATAACTTAATGAAGCTTCTAAGC